TTTCTCTCTCTCTCTCTCTCTCTCTCTCTCTCTCTCTCTCTCTCTCTCTCTCTCTCTCTCTCTCTCTCTCATGACTTCTATTCTAGTATAATAAATAGAAAGGGAGAGTAATGAATGATCAAAACATTATAAGTACCTCTATCTCCCCACCTCTTTTATTTAGTTTTGTGCCTACTTCTTCTAAAGGCAACTTGTATCTTCCTTCCGTTGCTATAATAGAAGAAAAATAGAAAGAGCCATGGATGTTCATGATTTATCTGAAGAAGCTAAAAGAGGACTACACACGTCCGAGGATTCAGGTGACGATCTTTGCGTTGATTCTCGAGGTCGACCATGCAGGCAAGACAAGCATGGTGGTACAGGAGCTGCCCTCTTTGTTCTAGGTATCCTTCTCCTGTTCTTGTCAATACTAACTTATATGTGTATCCTCGTATCGACTAGAGCATGTTGCATACTGTCGGTTCGGTCCATGTTAAGCATTTTGAAGCCATGTTATCTTACATTGATTGGTTGTGTGTATATGCTCAGGCCTCCAGGCCTTTGAGATGATGGCGATTGCGGCTGTTGGGAACAACTTGATCACATATGTTTTCAATGAGATGCATTTCCCTTTGTCCAAATCTGCGAACCTCGTGACTAACTTCATTGGAACGGTGTTTCTGCTCTCGCTTCTTGGTGGCTTCCTCTCTGATTCATACCTTGGAAGCTTTCGCACCATGCTCGTCTTCGGCGTCATAGAAATATCTGTATGTCTCTACCTCTCTTTTTCTTTCTCACTGATTTCTTTAAGAGATGCTATTGAATATTCTACATCACTTTCTTCTCTAACTAGTAACGTGTGATTAAAAACGTGCCATTAGAAGTAACTTTAGACAAAAGTATATAACTTTAAGGTAAAGTTCTAACTAAAGTGGATGAATGTTTTTCTTGTTGAAACTTTCGGTTCTTTGGAAAAGCAAATGAGTTATATAATATGCTTTCATTTCATTACGTTCTATATTATATGTGTTATAACTAATTAATGTAAATACTGACGTCCAAACCAATGTCACAATAGTCTAGTAACAAAATGTACGGCTTATGCATCTTAGGCGTCATGAAAACTTTAGGTTAAAAGCATGTTCCAGACTCCAGTATGCACAACATAGATGCAATTATTCAGGATTTTATTTACAAAAGAGTCATATTTTTTTGACAATTTTTTTTTTTTTAAGAAGTAAATTCTGGCTGACAAAAATCATGTAAATTAATGAACAGGGGTTCATATTATTGTCAGTCCAAGCTCATCTTCCACAGCTAAGACCCCCAGAATGCAACATCAAGAATACCACAACACATTGCTTAGAGGCAAATGGTTACAAGGAAGCTACACTCTACGCAGCACTCTGTTTGGTGGCCTTAGGGAGCGGCTGTCTCAAACCAAACATCATCTCTCACGGTGCGGACCAGTTTCAAAGAAAAGATTTAAGGAAGCTGTCGAGTTTCTTTAATGCGGCTTACTTCGCATTTTCAATGGGTCAGCTTATTGCACTCACACTCTTAGTTTGGGTGCAAACGCATTCCGGCATGGACATCGGTTTTGGTGTCTCCGCGGCAGTTATGGCCGCGGGGATGATCAGTCTTGCTGCAGGGACAAACTTTTATAGGAATAAACCGCCTCGTGGTAGCATCTTCACACCAGTTGCTCAGGTAAATCGATTTTTTGCGTTTGTTTATCTGTAACTCATAACTTTTATCATTTACACAAAATTCATTTCTCAACTACAAACACCAAACGTTAGACACAGAGATTTCCTAGAAACGTTCAACCTTTTTTTGTAAAGATAGGAATCGAGAACGTTGGCCTATGATACATTTTGAGTTATGTGTAAGAGTTTGATCTTGACTTAATTTTCTGGTATTCTTTGATCGACCAGGTCTTAGTAGCCGCGATCACTAAGCGAAAACAGATTTGCCCTTCAAATCCAAACATGCTTCATCAACCTTCAACGAATCTCGTTGGTGTCAAACCTTTCCTCCATAGTAATAAGTTCAGGTGATTTTTCTTTTAATCTCTTTACAGTTACCGCCAAATTTAATAAACAAACTAAACAACTTTTAACCTCAAAACGTGTAGGTTTCTTGACAAGGCTTGCATCAAGACGCAAGGCAAAGCGATGGAGAGTCCATGGAGACTCTGCACAGTCGAACAAGTCCATCAAGTCAAGATTCTTTTATCGGTTATACCCATTTTCGCCTGCACCATCATCTTCAACACCATCTTAGCACAGCTCCAAACTTTCTCTGTTCAGCAAGGAAGCTCCATGGACACACACATCACAAAAACATTCCAAATCCCACCAGCTTCACTTCAAGCCATCCCTTACATCATTCTTATCTTCGTTGTTCCTCTCTATGAAACGTTCTTCGTTCCACTCGCTAGAAAACTCACGGGAAACGATTCTGGTATCTCTCCTCTTCAGAGAATTGGCACTGGACTGTTCTTAGCGACTTTCTCGATGGTTGCAGCTGCTTTAGTGGAAAAGCAGAGACGCGAATCTTTCTTGGAACAGAACGTAACGCTCTCGATCTTCTGGATCTCACCACAGTTTCTGATATTTGGTTTATCAGAGATGTTTACAGCCGTTGGTTTGGTGGAATTTTTTTACAAACAGTCTTCACAGAGTATGCAGTCTTTTCTCACAGCAATGACTTACTGTTCTTACTCTTTCGGGTTCTACGTTAGCTCTGTTCTTGTCTCGACCGTGAATAAAGTTACGTCTACTAATAGATCCGGGACAAGAGAAGGTTGGCTAGGCGATAACGACTTAAACAAAGATAGATTAGATCTCTTTTACTGGGTCTTAGCTTCATTGAGTTTCATCAACTTCTTTAACTATCTTTTTTGGTCAAGATGGTATTCGTTTAGTCCATCCTCGACACATCATAGGGCCGAGGTTAATAGCTTGGAGGATTTAGAAGATGGAGCAAATAAGGATTCCAAGATGGAGAAGCCTATAATTTGACTATGTTAGTTAGATCTTCTTGTTGAATATTTCCTTTAGGGTTATAATTAATAGAAGGAATCTCTTAAAGACTTAGATCCTTTATGCTTATTAATCTCGTTGTAATCATATGTTTGGAAGTGGCGGGGTAGAGTTTGTATTGTTTTTAATTTTATTTTTGGGGTTTGTAATGATGATGAGTTAGTTTAAAAGGTTTATAACAACTTGTCTAATGAATAAATTATGTATTAAGCTAGTTGGTTTTATAATGTGACTGCTGAAGTTCATAAGATTTGGGGCAAAGATGGAGAACACAAACTGCTACAACTACTTAAAACAACATTTCAGCATGCGATTGCTGCCTTTAACAACAACCGAGCAAAATCAGAGTTTGACGTCCGAGGCATATGATAATTCCTTTGACTTATATGACATCTCTAAAGTCGGAGAGAGATATGGTCAATACCCCGTAGATATTGACATCATAAGCTAAAAGATATAGTGAGGTAAGCATTATTAGCTGTGACTTTCAGGCAGACAGAGAAGGTCCACACAACACACTGCTCCATTGCTGCATCAATATCAATGAACCATAGTGTCTTCACCACCAAATCTTCAACAACATATTGATATTTTTTTTGTGATTTGAGCATTACCGTTGACTTTGAAAGAAAAATAATATAAAATCCTTATGTTCCTTGTGCTCCATTTGACCAAACATATCTAAAGTGTTTCTAAGTTTGATAGCCTTTCTTGCAGCCTTGTTTAAGAATTCTTTCAATCTCTACAAGATGGTCTGTCCACATTTGGTAGATCTATGTATAGGTTTCACTTGGAAATTTTTAACTCAAATAGATATGACTGGATCAGTTTCTAAAGCATATAGCCAAACTTCAGAAGAGAAACTGTTACAGTTTCATGTAACTCTACACTAGTATTAACAAGCATTTACATATGCTGTAACGTTAGGTTGCATCTCTATTGTCTATACCACACTAGGTACCTAAATAGTTGCACGAAAAACAGAAAGGAAGAAAAAACAAACCGTTACTAGAGTTTCATGAGTTTGTTGATATGTGGAGATAGTTAGTTTAGTTAGACATGCACTCTGGTCAATACCCATAGACAGACAGATTGAGAGAGAGAAAAGCAAAGCATCAATGCCGTGACCGTTCCGCAAATACGTTCATGTTTCATTTTATATAAATAATACTAAGTGATTTCCATGCTCATACATAGATATATATATATATATTGCTTAGCTTGAAATAAAAATAAACAAATGACTCATTTAAAATTACATAAATGAATATAAAGGTAATATTCAGAAGTTTCATACATATATATAAATTTTACAAAAGATCTTAATTGTAAGAATTGGTTAATGTTTATTATTCTATATTAATATGTTTCAAGTCATTATGTAATTTATATTTATGAAAATAAGTAAATTATTATTATTTTATATATTCTTATTGTAAGTAGATCTTTGATTTTGGTTATAAGTTTGATTAGTCCAATTATCTATTTTGTGAATGTATGGAGTAGGGCTGGGCATCCGGTGTACCATTCGGGTGTCGGTTCCATTTTAAATGGGTTGGATTTTCATGGTTAACAAAAACAATCCCCATTCGGGTAAATTTGAAGATCAATTCGGGGGCTATACAGTTCGGGTCGATCTTGGTAGAATGGCATGGAACCGGTATCACCCGGAATACTTTTGGGATCGGTTTTAAGTCTGTACTCGGTTCTTAAGTGTACCATTAACATTTGTAGTGAATGTAACCATTGTAAAGCAAAATAATTTTGTACCTTGCAATGCAAGTAAGTAAAAAAACATAGAAATGAAACATTCAAAATCCTCATAACCCTAAGGCAAGACATATATGAAACGAAGGCACCTTTTATTATTGATAGTCTAATAAAAAATTTAACAACTCAGAGAATTCAAACAAAGCTAAAACCATAACCAAATTTTTAAAACCAAAATAAGAAACATTATTCAAAATTCAAAGAAATAAAAACCAAATGCAGAAAACTTCAAGCTCCATGCTTCTTCTCCAGCCTTCTTCTACTTCATGCTTCGACCTTGAAGCTTCAATCATCAAGCCGCTGGGCTTGAAACTCTGAAACATAAAAACAATCATAAAAACAAGGTGGCAAAAAGTACAAAAGATAGTAAAAACAAAGTAAGTGAAGAGATACACAGACCTTTCTGAAGTCGATCAAGCAACTCCACATCAGCAAGCAATTGCTCATTTGTAGTGACTTGTTCACTCACTATGATGTCAGCATGCATCCATTGCTCAGTGCACATGAGAACTTCTATCATGTAATGAGTTAGACAACTTCGATATGGCTCCAAGATCCTACCACTTGTGCTAAAAGAACTTTCGGATGCCACTGTTGAAATTTGCATGGCGAGGACATCTCTTGCCATTTCAGCAAGCACATGATACTTAGTCTTGTGAACCTTCCACCAAGAGAGAATATTGAACTCAATACCAAGCAAGAGGTTAGGAGTTTCAACTGCCTCCTTCAAGTACACTTCAAGTTCATCTCTTGTATCATCTCCCTTTTCAGCAACCAGCTCCTTGTAAACACAATCCATCCTCTCATAACCAAAATCTTCAATTACCAGCTACATTCTCTCTGTGCCTTGATCTTGCGAGTCTGGAGGAGGCTGAGATGATGATGCGTGAGACCCTCTCAAATGTGTGTTGTACTCCTTGAACATAGACCTGAGAAGATCTCCAACAGATTCTAGCATTATTTTAGACTTTAAGCTCTCCTTCCATAGAGCTTCTCAAGGCACAGCTTTGCAAATTGCATCTTTTTTCTTGGATCAAAAACCGTCGCTAAAATCAGCATTCTGTTGACACTCTTCATACCATCCCAGTACTTGAGAAACTTCTGCAACATCTCCGATGCTTTCACCTTCAACTCATGATCAAAGCTGTTGGCCAATGCAGTGAGGTTTCTTTCTATAGTCATTATCTTACCATAGCACTTGTAAGAGTTCACCTTTGATGAGGCAGAAACAACCAAAGTGCTGTTGTAAAAGATTATCAGAAACCTCTTAAGATTTTCAACAGCACTCCAATCTCTCAAAGAAGATGGTCCACACCTCTTAACCCCATTTTCCATCTCCAAAAAATAATCATTATATAACCTCTCTTCTGCCTCTATCCTATCAAATGCAGATCTTAACTGAAGTGCCCTAGACAGCATAAGGAAGGTTGAATTCCATCTAGTCTTAATATCCATAGGCAAGCTACCCCGACTCATTCTCCCAGTGCTGACTAAGATCAAATGCATTAGGCCTAGGTGTTGAAGAACAAACATATTGAATAGTGTTCCTAATGGCTAACACGTTTTCTCCTACCTTGGCCAAACCCTCCTTAGCAATTAAATTAATGATGTGAGCACATCACCTCATGTGCAAGAAATTCCCATCTAGAACTAAAGCCTCAGAGGAAACTACCCTAAACTCACTATAGAATCTCCTAATTACAGAAGTATTCGCAGTTGTGTTGTCTACTGTGATGCAAAATACTTTTTCAATGCCCCATTAAGCTAAACACTCTAAGAGCACAGTTGCGATAGTCTGACCTTTATGGTCCATCACATACTTGAAGCCTATGATAAGCTTCTTCAGCTGCCAAGCTGCGTCAACAAAGTGGGCAGTTATCACCATGTAACTTGCACCTGTTACAAATTAAAGAAACGATATCAGATTTTAGAAAAATATTTTTTTAAAAAAACTGACTTTATAAATATATCGGATGTGTAGAAAATCGAATAGCATAACTAAAAAAGTTACATGTGACCTGTGAAACCTATATGTCGGTCGTAAGTGACACTCTTTGTTTGGTTGTGCATAGCATGTTTTTCAAAGCTGTTTTCTTCCTCACATACATCTCAATGATGTCTCTAGTTGCAGTCCTTCTCGAGTGTGGTTTGTAAGGGTTTACCTTCCAAGTGTTAATAACAAATGTTTTAGTAATGTTACATTTAAAAAGAAGATAAAAAGGTAAAGGTTTATTAAAGAAATTATCTTTCTGCAGAAGTCTTTCCAAGCAGTGCTTTCAAAAATGAAAGAGGCAGTTCTACTAGCACAATCAACTCATTCGATGCCTCTTGGAAAACAGCCTCTGCAGCTTTTTATGACTTCAGATTGCCATCTGTGTTGATCTCTATCTGATTCGTTTCTTGACTGGTTAACCATGCTTGGTACTATTTGCAGATGGACAGATGCTTCTGGAGGTTTGATGTTCCTGATTTGGTAGTGCATGAGAAGACCTTCTGACAATAGTGGCAGATTCATCTGTCAAGACTTTCTTTGGTTCGGGTGAAATGTTTCCAGACACCAGACCTTGGCACAACGACTTTCATCACCTTCTTTGACTGAGAAGATACACCAGAAGTTGCATCTCCAGCGATAGCCTTCCCTCGGTTTTAAGTACGTTGGTACTCTTCTCCTTCAACTTGAGCGTCAACATCCATGGTTTCTTCAATAATGTGTGGAATTTCGGAGGATAAGGCAACCATCTGCAATAGAATGAGAAAAAAATACCATCAATAATATCAAAAGAAACAGTTCAAGTTATTAGTTTCTTACAAAACACCCAGCTTCTAGCATCAAGAACAAACATTAACATATACGAAACAAAGCAGCAAAACATATCCATAAAAGAAAACAGCTCATTACATTTAGAAAAAAAATTTCCTGGATTATATAGTAAGTTTACTCGTGATGCTTGATTAATACGAAACAAAACAGCAAATTCATGTAAAAGAACCGACGATTACTCGTACAACAAACCCAAAACATTTTGGTATCCGTACAACAAACATCAACATTCACAACATGAAATCATTGCACAAGACAGCAAGTTCATGTAAAAGAACCTATTATTACTCGTGATGCCTGATTAATACGAAACAAACCAGAAGGTTTTATGTTTTAAAAATTCTACCAAAACCCGAAACTAAAAGATAATGAAACAAGCATCGATTACTCTGTAAACGGAGGAGTACCTCTGCTTGATTACTTGAGTTCTGTGATGGAGGAGTCGATGATGATAGGAGAAGTATTTATGGGATCTTAGACATAGGTTTTCGGTTTTAAATCGAGGAAGAGAAATGGATACGATGTGCGAAAACGGTTGGAGATATCCGATTGTTGTGTCAAAATCGGTCACGACGGAATCAATGGCTAAAAGTCTCCGCAAAAGTAAAAATAAAAATACATTTTATAAATCTCGAGAGATCGTTTTATAAAACTCGAGAAACCGTTTTATAAAATTTGATA